AGGGCAGCTGCACTCCTGTGGCCTCTCCTGCACACCAGTGTCATACCAGAGATGCCAGATGGGCCTGGCATCCAGCAGAGGCTTGACAGGCCTCACTGGCATGGCCCATCTTGGCAGGGCAGACACAGCCAAATGATGCCCTCCACCACTGGGAAAGGATGCACGCAAGAACCCTCCCTTGGACCTGAGAAACAGCACCCACTGCCAAGAAGGACCCTGGCCCGGCCCGAGCACAGAGAACTGAAACCAGAAGAGCGACTTCACACTTCAAAAAGTTCCCTTTGACAAACTCCCAGGCGCTAACCCATTTCCCGCAATGGGTAAGGCCAAGTCCAGCTGCTCCAGCCCTGGAAAATCTCCACTCAGGGCTTCACACTGCAATGCTCAGGGCAGCGCAGTCTGCAGAGCTGGCTGGGGAAACCTCAGGACAAATGATGCAGCTCCCCAGCAGCAGAAGCAGCAACTACAACAACCACCAGAAGAGAAACCAACACTGAGCAGGAGAAAGATGACGACAACAGAGGCCACAATGCCAAGGCCGCCAATGACCACCACCCTTGCAACGCCTCAACCATGTTTTCTGGATCCTCATTCAGACAAACTATAAGCCAAAGCTAGGTGATTATTAGGGCAACAGGACATTAACTGGGTATCCTATGCTACTAGAGAAACTGTTATCCAGGCACAGGGGAGCAAGTCTGTAGTCCCAGGTGCCCATGAGGGTGAGGAAATAGGGTCACTAGTGCCCAGGAGTTTGAGACCAGCTTGAGCAACACAGGGAAACCCCATCTCACTGGGCGACAGGCAGGAAGGAAGAAAGGAAGGAAGAGAAGAAGGAAGGGAAGAAAGGGGAAGAGGGGAGGAGAAAGGACAAGAGGAAGAAAAGAAGAAGGCGAAAGAGCTAGAGATAGAGAAAGAAAGGAAGGGAAGGACTGTTGCTTTTTCCCTAAGTATGGTAGCATTTGTCCTTAGGCATGTGCACAGAAACGTTTACCATCAAAAGGCTATGACGCCTGGATTTCTTCTAGACAACCCAGTGCTGGGGAAGTGGGGGACAGGAGATGGAGCCTGGCCCTGAGCTGGTGCCAGTAAAGGAAGAAGCTACCACCCAAATACCCGGGTTTGATGGGCTTCCACAGTGACCCCGCTGGAGAGAGCTGACAGGGAGACAGTTCCATTCAGCTGTTCACCCAAAACATTTTACTAGTTTTGGGCTTTTCTGTCTTTCCCAGGACCAGAGCCTAGGGTCAGGGAAGGTCTGCAGGAGCTCTAGGGATGATCTAGCATTACTCCCAGGCCTGCTTGGCTGCCCAGGCTCACACGAGCAGACTCCTGCCTCTCACTCTGCTCCCCTGCCAGGCCACCTGCCCTGGGACACTGCTTTTGGATGGAAGGACATCACCAGGAAATGCTGTCCTCCCATCTGTGGCAGGACTCTCTGACCGTGCCATGCCTCAACTTCCTTTCCTTTTTTTTTTTTTTTTTTATGTGAGACCGGGTCTCAATATATAATTCAGGCTGGCCTTGAACTCATTTATGCAGCCCAGGCTGGCCTCGAACTCAAGGCAATCCTCCTGCCTCAGTCTCTCGAGTGCTGGGATTACCGATGTGGACCACCATGCCTGGCTCAACTTCCTTCCTAAAGGCAGAGAGATGCATGGTGAGACTCTTCCCTGGCTGAGAGATCAGATTTTTTGGACCCCACATTCTGGGAGTGGAGCTCCTGAAGCCATATGTACACATCCTTTATTCCTCTAAACTATGTCATCTCTTGAAGCCTTATCTGGGCCGTAACAAGGGTCTGTGATGGCCATGAGTGACAACGGCAGCTGGGAGCAAAGCCACATCCCCACATTCGCCACGAGGTCAGGCTATGATCAAGCCCAGCATCACTGCTCAGCCCAGACCTGACGCTTTAGTGATTCTTTTGCTTTTTGCTTTTGTTTGTTTGTTGCAATACTACTGAGAATCAAATCCAGTGCCTTTACACTGAGCTACACCTTAGCCCTTTTTATTTTGAGACAGGGCTGTGATAAGTTGCCAAATTGCCCACCTAAGCTCAAACTTCTGATCCTCCTGCCTCAGTCTCCCTGAGTGCTGGCATTACAGCATGTGCCACTATGCCTGGTTTCTTCGGCCCAGCTGTAAGGGAGGAAAAACTAATCCTGTCAGAGTCCAAAACTGTTCTTGCCTGAGTTCCAGCCACCCTGGCCTCTGCCCCACTTATTATCCTGGGAAGGAGCAAGCGGTGGCTCTGCCGGGGATATCCAAAGGGCCAGGACTCAGAGAAGGTGACGCCAAGGAACCGACACTGTGGGGTGGCTCAGCCAGGGAAAGGCATTTTCCAGCAAACCGGTGGCTCTGGGGGACGCTGCGCCTGCACGGCGCCATCGCAAGACCTCTGCCAATGCCAAGGAAGAAAAGCACGGGGCCGCCCCGACGCTCCCACATTTTCTTTGGAAAGGCACACTCAAATTCCAGCAATCCTAGCAAGAAGAATCCTACGTTCACTCACACTATGTGGAATCTGGGGCCCGAGTTAGAGAAAATATTTCCTCAGTTTTCTCCTCGCAGTGCAGAGATCGGCCTCAGCCGGGACAGAGGTGGCTTTGGCCACATGAGCCAGGATATGAATTCACTCATATTCCTGGGTGAGTGATCTCACTACTGGAGGCTGGGGGCATTGCTTCCCTGACACCTGCCTGGTCAGTCTGGGACCCAGGAGACTGGCCAGGAAACGGTCCTCTTCATCACACGCACTTCCTCCGACCTCAGCCCTACGCTGGCTGGCAGCAGTCAAGAATTTGGCCTAAAATAAGAGACCAGGGAAGCCACTCAACTACAGGGTCCAGACAGAGAGAGAGGAGGAAGCCCGCCAAGGAGGAAGTATTGATTTTTGTCGCAGATGCTCTTGGACTCCGAATTCTAAAACCGGAAGATGGAGAATCCCCTTGTGGGAAGCTATCTGATGGACACCCTGGCAAGCTCTGGGCTCCAACAGTCCCCAGACCCCTCCAACAGCCCCAGTGCACACCCTCCCGACAAGAGACTAAGAGGTAACTTTTCCCTCTTACTCTCTTCCAGAAAGATAAATGATAAAAAGAAAAAAATATGCAAGCTGAGGCACGAAGGAGTGGCCCCTGGGCCTTTTGTATGAGGGGTGATGACAGTCACAGATGCAGGCCCAGAAAGATCCACAGAGGTAGGCAGGGCCTAGGGCAATGTCCACTGCCCCCAGCCAGTCCCCAAAGCCACCTCTTAGAACAGAATGAGAAGCCAAACGTGGTGGTGCACTCCTGTAATCCCAGCACGGGAGGCTGAGGCAGAAGGATCACAGTGAATTCAAAGCCAGCCTGGGCTACATAGTGAATTCAAGGCCACCTTGAATTGCATAGCAAGACCCTGTCTCTAAAAACAAAAACAAAATCAAAACAGAGAGAGAAGGGACACAAGGAGAGAGCTGAAATGCCACTTTTTCCTCCCTAGAGCTCTCCAGCATATACCCGTGATGGTCACTCACAGAGAGAAAAATTATGTTTGTGAAAGCAACTCTCCCCCCTTTATTTCTGGGTGCAGTTGTATCATTCCCAACTTCCCCAAGGGGCAAGGGGGTGACCACAGCAGTTGTGAGTCACTTTTCTTTTTTGTGAATGGACAGGAAGGAAGACACAGAGACACACTCACAGGAAAGGACATTTGTGAGAGTTGACAAGAAGCCACATTCTCTCACATTCACATAAAGAAGGAAGAAGGGAAACGAGAGGGGGGGAAAACTGGAATGGTGGAAAGGGAAACACACACACACACACACACACACGCACGCACACACACAGAAAGGTTTGGTAGCCCTCTCATTACAAGTTGGTTGGGCATAATGTAAACACTTCTGCCTTGCTTAATCACAGAGTGCTGCCCGTTTAGGTTTCAAAGGCGGCAGTAAATTGGGCGTAGCTGAGTGGAGGCTAAAAATTAACCAGCCATCTCTGTTTCAATTTGTAAGAAAACAAAAGCAGAAAGAAATTATAAAAAGGGAAAGGAGAAAGGGGAAATATAAAAAGGACCGAAGGAGGAGAACGAAGCCAGACCGACCTAAAATGCAGGGTGAGGCTGGAAAAGCAAAGCGGAAAAGTAAAACTACTTGGAAGACAAAAGGGAAAGGAGGTTTTAAAGGTTTTGTTTGCTTAAGACCTCGTCCCCAGCCACCGCTCCTGCTAGGCCTGCTCTCCACTAGGCGGATTCGGTCGGGGCACCCATCCTGGGGCCGCAACATCCTGGGGTCTCGCCACTTCTGCCAACCAAGGTGAGGGGGAGCAGCCCAAGGGAGCTCCGCTTGCTTCCTCTCTCTCTCTATGAAATCAAATTACTTTCATGCTTTCCAAATCCCAATCCCAGCCAACACAGCTCCCGCCTGGGCATCTGGGCCCCAGAACCTGCCCACGGCTGGCTGCCTCCTCTCCTCTTTTCTGTTTGTTCAGTCTCCTCCAAGGGGATTTCGCATGCCCCTCTCTCCACCGAACTGCTGCCCACCCGGCTGGTGCCAAATCCGGCTTTTCCCGGGACTCGTGGCGAAGCCTCAGGAAAGCCAGCACCTGCTCTCTGACCCTCCCTCTGAGTCATTGCAAATGAGAGCAAAGATTGATCTTTCTGTCAGCCTCAAACTCTCACCCTCACAGATAATTGTGGGGACATCCTGGCCCCATCCTAAGCACCGCCGCGTCTTCCGGACCAGTAAGTCCCCCAAAGATGCAGATGGACAGAGTGGGTATCACAGCAAGGAGGCCAAGGAAGGAGAACAGAGCCGGTGGCGGGAGACAGAGAAGGGAAGAGAGAAAAGGCACGCATCAAACTGAATGTGATGTGCACGATGCAGGCCCCAGCAGGACAGCCGGGGTACTGGCTAGGCCCATGGCGTGTTATCCTTTACAATAAGAGGAACAATAAACACAGCAAATGCCAGCAAGAAAAATCAAATGGGGGGAGAAAGGTTGAGAGCAACCTACCCGGAGTGTGGACAAAGTAAGCCAGATAAAGATCCAGTTCTTTGATTGTGACTCCAATGTGATGTGGCTGGACGCACAGGCCGGGGTTCGAGCACTGGGGCGACTTGTAGAGCCGCTCCCCATCAGTACTTTCCAGGGGGATCCCCTTAAACAAAATCACCATGACCAGGTCCAGCCGCCACACCTTGTCAGCCTGGCGCAGGCAGTCAATCCGCCGGATCTTGCCCTTCTGGTCGGGGTTGGAGAGCACGCAGCAGGGGGGCTTCTTGCCCGTGATGGTCAGCACAAAGTCCTCACGGAACTCGGGCCGGATGTCTTTGCGCAGCTTGGCCAGCAGCCGGGATGCCCACTTCTGCTTGATCTCAGGCTTCTCGCCCAGCAGCTCGTCCTTCACCGCCCGCTCCTCGTCCTTCGACATCCGCTTCTCGTGCTTCTTGAAGTACTTGCGCTTCCGCGCCTGCAGGTTGAACCAGGTGTAGGAGAAGGCGCGGACGTGAGGCAGCAGCGCCTCGATGAACGGGTGGAACTCATCCTGCAGGCGGCAAGCCGGGAGCATGCGGGGCGAGGGAGGACGGGAGGAGGGGAAGACGGGATGAGGGGGAAAGAGAGAAGGAGAAAAGCAGCGTTAGAAGGGGGGGCACGAAGAAAACCGCCTTCTCCTCCTCCTCCCTCCCCCCAACAATTTTCTCTCGTGATTGTTCTACAAAAGTGTGGTTTGAAGTCACCACCAGCTTCGCCAGCCGCTTGCTCCCATCTCAGCCTCAGCAGCAGACAGAGGCACCAGGAGCCCGTCCACACACCTATTCTGTCTCTCTCCCTCTCTCTCCCTCACTCACTCACACACACGCGCACACAGACAACACTGCCATCCACACACACACACGCTGCTGGTCTCCCCGCCAGGCTCTGTCGCGCCCATGACATCTCCATGTTCGATCGCAGCCGTGAACTCGTGTCAGTGCCGGTGGAGGCTCGCAAGGGGCACGCAGGGGCCAACTCCTATCCCTGCCCGGACACTGGCCCGCTCTGGCTGCCCCAGAAGACTAGGATGACATCCGCGAGCAATCAAGGAACCGGCTCTGGAGTCCCTCTCTCAGGCTGTTTTCATTTTCTTTTCTCCTGATACAGTTGGAACATCCACCCCAGCATTTTTTAATCAGACCTAAATCCTAAATATGTGATTTCAGCTTTGTTATCAACACCGATACTAATGTTAATCACAGTACTAATGAACAAAACACTTCTTGTTAGCACAAATAAGGTGGTTGTCTCGGCCACATCAGGGTTAAAGCTACACAGGTCGGCTTGCGGCCCCTTCCCCAGCCTCCCACGACCCTTCACCCTCTTTCCCACTCAGTCAGGTGACAGAGGGCTGGGCTCTCGGCTTTTGGCTTTTTTTTTTTTTTTTTTGCTTGTTTTGAAGTTAAATAATTGATTTCTGTTTACAAAAATAAAACTGGAAAAAATTAAATAATTACCATTGATCTGAAGCACCCGGCCAAGCCCCACGCTCGATTCTGAGATTCTGGACTCAACAGAGTTGTGAGTTGGGGGCGGGTGGGGGAGGGGAGGAGGAGGATCGGGGGAGGAAGGTAAATGTTTTAAAGGGGGTTATTATTGGTGTTCTGGGGAATAGGGGCCGGGCTTGGGTGGATTCTCAAACCCTTCCCCCTCCGCCCCCCCACGCTCCATTGCACTGAAGGGGAAAATTAATATATTTTTTTAAAAAGGAGCAAAAAGAAAGAAAGGTCAGGGATAGGAAGCAGAGAGAAGGAGCGAGCTAGTTGCCACACACGCCAGGTAAACAAAAGCCAACATAAAAATTTTTTTTCAGTTGTTCCCCCTGTGCATCCTGTTCCAGTCTTTTTAAAAAAAGAAAACAAAAATATGCAAAATTTAAAAATTAAAACCCACCTCCCACCATCCCCCTTCCCACAACAACGCACCCTGCCCCACCCCCGTGCAAAACAAAAACAAAAACAAAAACCAGGAGAGAAAAAAGCGGCAGCTGAAGAAAAAGGCTTTCGGCTTTGGCATCGGCAGAGGGGTGTAAACTTCGAGCTGCCTCCCTCCGCCCGATCGGAGGAAAAGGGGGAGCTCGCAGATTCCCGGGGAAGAGGACGAGTTCTGACCGGCTGCAGACCGTTGCTGGCAGACGCGTGCAGAAGAGAGAGGGAGCGAGAGAGGGAGGGAAGGGGGAGGGAAAGATCGAGGATCCAGGGAGGACGTGGATGGGATGGGATGGGGGGTGTGTGCGTGTGTGAGTGTGCGCGTGTGTAAGGGTGCATGTGTGTGCGTGCGCGAGTGTATGTGCTCGGCTTTTGGGGGTTTTGTTGCTCCTTTTCTCTCTCTCAAACTCCCTCTCTCTCTCCCCTTTCAAGCTCAATCCCCATCCATTTGCCCGTGCCAAGCCAGTAAAAAAAAAAAAAAAAAAAAAGGGAGGGTGGGGAGGGAGAGAGAGGGAGAGAGGGAGGGAGGGAGCGAGAGAGAGGGAGAGAGAGAGGGAGAGAGAAAGAGAGAAAGAGAGAGCGCGAGCAGGATCCACCTATTTGGCTGAGAGACCTCCACAAGTAGCCAATGGCTGTGTGCAAGGGGAGGAGGTAGCTGGGCGAGCGGGAGGGTGGGGAGAGCCCCCGGCAGTTGGAGACCAAAAACAATTTGCCCAATCGACAAGTTCACGTCTAATGAACAAGCAAAGTCCAGCAGTTATGAATTTTTCATTCCAGGCTTCCACTCGGGTCCATTTGGCAGCAGTCACCCAGCAAATTTGGGGGTGTGGGGGAGTATCGGGATTGAGGAAGACGCGGAATTTTTTTTTTTTTTTTTAAGCCAGAAAAATAAATAAATAAAGGCCTGACTCCGGGCGGGCTGGCGGGCGGGAGCCCCAGAAGGCCTTGGGGAAAGCAGCTGCGCCTTCTCTGTGTTTTGGTTTCAGTCTTTCTCTCGGCCCGCACACTCTCTCCTTTTCTGTTTCTAGTTTTCTCTCTCTCTCTCTCTCTCTCTCTCTCTCTTTAATTTATGGAGCACACGGGTGAGTGGAAGTTTTCTCTCCGGCCATACACACCAGCCTGCAGTGCTATGAATAGAAAGAAGAAGAAAGAGCTCGGAAAGTGCCCCTGCCAGCAGCACTTCCAGGCCAGGGACGGGGCGCCCAGGGTGCGGCCACCCCTCGGGAGGTGGGAGCACTCCCGGACGGAGGGGCAGCGTCCTGCACTCCCTCCCCTTCCCCCCCCCGGCCCCAGCAGACTCGACAGCCTTCCTCGGCCCACACCCAGCCACGCACGCTCCATTAGTGGTGACGAGGGATGCCAACGCAATGCAGCTTGACTCGCGAAACTGCAACAGTTTATTAAAATAGCCTCCTGTCACAGCACTGTGCTGACAAGCACTACACGCAGCCACAAACACAACAGCCAGCACTGGGGAGAAGTGACAAAGGCGGAAAGAGGGACACTGCTTCTCCACAGAGGCACCCAGCGTCCAGTGCCTCCTGCACGCGCCCCCCCCCCAGTCTGAATGCTTAATTCTTTGCCTTTCTAGGTTTGTCCTCTCCACTCAATCTGAGGCTAGTTATCCAACCTGTCTTCCAAATCCATCCGGACTAAAGGGCCCCAAATAAAGTGGAAGCTGCAAAAGCATAAAGTGAGAAACACGGTGAAAGGGAGAGAGGTAAGACCAGACCACACAGAAAGTAGAGGGCTCTAGCAGGATAGAGGGGGCAGCTGAGGAAATCAAGTCCGGGGCCCAGCAGCAGCAGGACAGACACCCCACCCACCCAGGTCTCTAGCTTGGGTTTTCCTCCCAGCTGGTGAGGGGACCCAAGCGCTGGGTAGGAGAGTCTCAAGTTTTTAGGGAGTCCCTTCAGATAGGGGTGTGGAGCAGCCAACCCTTAAGGCCTGGGGAAAGGAGTACAGAGGAGCCAGGTATGAAACGAAAGGAAAAGCTGGCACGAAGGATAATAACACAGAGAGAGCAACCTGATCCCATAGAACCCTCTCCCCAGACCCAACCCTCAGCTGGCAAAGGTCACTGCTCATTCGCCCCTTTCCTCCCCTCCAAACGCCGCACTCCTGGCCCTTCCATTGTTCCGCACACAGGTTCCCGGAAGAGTACAGGTGCGTCAGAACCACCTCTAGCCCTGGGCCCGCACTGCACCTTGACAGTGGGCGAGGTGCACCCCAGCTCGTGGAACCCCACACCCAGAAGGGTCACCCTGGTGAGGGGAGCCCATAGCTGAGTGTGAGAGACAGAAGTGGCGGTGCAGGAGGCAGGTGCTGTCACCCACAGGCCTCTCAGGGTGGTGTTCAATAATTCACATCCTGTTAATAACCAGCTTTGGTCAAAGCAGCCGAAGATGTTAGCATAGCAACACAAGGTACTAAGCCCGGCCTCCCCACCTTGAGGAAGCAATCTGACTTTCATAAAAACTGCAAGTGACTTTGTATTTGGCACGGGGGTGTCTTTCTGATATTCTGATTATGCTACATATTAGACACTGAACAGAAAATGGCCAACAGGAGCCTCCTGGCAAATGCTGGCATGTTCCTTCTCGTAGATCACGGCACTGGTGGAAGAGATGTGCTTCACATGGGTTGATTCTGAGTCTGGTGGCATAGCCGGGTATGGGGGGGAGGTGGACAGCGACAGTCACACAGCTGGGAGACGGCAAAGGAAGGATCCGAGGACGCTGGGGGAACCTGGGGAGATGCAGGATTCACTCCGCAGGGAGAGAGGGGGCTCAAAAGTCTGTGGAGGAGCCCAGAGATCTGGATGAGGAGCCGGGGAGTGTCTGGAGGCCTCAGGGACTCAAACAGAGCTTTTCAGGGGAGAGCAACCGTCAACTGTCCTTCCCTATACAGCGGCTGTAACCTTGAAGGTGGGCAAGGACCCTCGGGCCTTGCTCTCCCTCAGCCTGCTGGGCAGGGCTGCTGGCACCCCAGCAGGAGGCCTTCCCCTGAGGGCTGCAGCCATTCAGGCTTCCAATACTAGGGTAGAGAAGGTAGATCCCCCCTCCTCTGTCAGGGTAATTCCCCCTGTTAGGGTTGCTCAGGTTCTTTTAGAAACGCTTCAGGCACCTACCCACCCACCCCACCCCACCCCCTGCCGCCCCCTAGGCCACCGGTGGCTGCCGACAGCCTGGACACGCCCCTCAGAAGCCCAAGACAAAAGGGAACTGTCCCCCTTTTGTTAGGTGACAGTCAAGTTTCCTGTTGGAAGATTACCTGTCCCTGTCCTGGCCTCTTTCCTTTTCCCATCTGCCCTCTTCTAGCTCAGACTGCTCTGCACCCTGCACATAGGACCGGGGCCAAGACAGAAAACCCTCCGAGGGATTCGAGGCTTCCCCAGGTCTGAGTCGCAGACCAGAGTGAGGGCACCAGCCGGCCACCGAAGTGAAGGAAGAGATGGAGGGAAAGGAATAAGCAAAAATACCCAGGGAAAAGGAAGCCAGCGGTGCTGTGAGCAAAGAGAAAAACTAAAGACAAGGGAAAAGAAATAAAGAAAATGCAGGAAAAATTGGGAGGGGGGAAGGTACTTCACCCATTAACAGAAAAATCGAGAAGCCAGAAATACAACCTTTGAAATTCACACGGGATTTTGGTTTGCGGGAAATGTTTGTGCCTTTGCGAATGAAAGGTCTCTCTTTTATTGTCGAAGACACAGAATTTGCTTTTTCAAAAGTTCCTGTTGAAAGATTTCTGAAACAAATATCCATACCAGTTTCAGCCATCACCAGGAGAAATTTGCCCTTCCTGCAAAAACAAAAACAAAAACAAAACAAAAACTGAGCAAGCCACAGAGAAAGAGAAATGCGGAGGTGAAGAAAAAGTAGAGTCAAAAACCAAACCTGGAGAGACAGAGTCCCAGGCTGTTTTTGCCAAAACAGCAAAAATAAATAAATAAATAAATAAACAAACAAACAAACAAGCTGA